GTGTGTGTGTGTGTGTGTGTGTGTGTGTGTGTATGTGTGTGTGTGTGTGTATATATATATATATATATATATATATATATTAATTTATTCACCTAGCAGAAATTGAAAAACATGATTGAGGTACTTTCCAACTTACCTCATCAACAACTTCTTCAGATTTTGTCTTTTTGGGCTGGTTTTCATCAATCTTGATATTTTTTAGCTGTTCTGCTACTTGTTCAGTGTTCTCTGTGTCTTTAAAGCTCTGGGAAATATACATTTTAGTGATCTACCTAAGGAAGTTATAATAGTGCTATGAAAAGTATTTATTAATCAAATTTTACAACTGCCCATTTCACAAAAGACATTTCTAGGTTCTGTACAACAATCAAACAATAAATACATAAAATCCAGATTAAAAAGTAAATATGATAAAAACAATTATACAACTCTAGATAAGGGGATTAAGAATGGACATCTAGCAAAGGAGCCATTTGAGCATATCTGTTCACAACAATATGAAGTCACAGCTGCCAGTTCTTTAGCTGATGTTGTCCTTTGCAAACATCAAGTTCTTACCAAGAATATAGAATGTTGTATCATCGTAGTATAAGTATGTAGCTAAGTAATGTGGCCATTTGCAATTGACAAATGGGTTTTTTGTCAATATGTAGTTTGTATAAGTGCCAACCAAGATTTTTTTTAATATTGCAGACAGTGTGACTATAGCCACTTGGACCACAATAGCCATTTACTAGAACCTTTCAATGTCAATTTTTAGAACTTGAAACTTTGTGATTTTTGCCAACTCTTTGTTTTTTATTCCAGCAACCCCCAACTTCTCCTCTGCAGACAGCCGGCAGCAGCAGGACCTGATACTAGGGTGTGGGTTGGGGGATAGGGACCCCTGTTCTACTCTATTGTTCCCTGGTATATTATTATAATATTGAATAATATGAACGTAATCCTACTTATTATATTTTGAATGTTCACTTACATTTTCTTGGTGCAATCTTAAAAACCTTCTCTAAAATGTCATAGTTCTGCCATATAAAATATATAATACTATATAGCAGAAAACATTTTGCAGAAAACATCCATGTAACACAAGTTTTAAAAGCTAGTTTGACCATATTTATGTACTCAACCTAGTCTGACTGGAAGCAGTACATATAGGTATTTAAACAAAAATTTCTTTTAAAAAATATCTTTATTAAAAGTTTTTACTCAATATAAAATAGAAATATAAAGACAATACAAAAAGAGAGAAATGAAGGGGCGAAGAAGAGGAGAGTGAAGAAAGAAAACAAAAAGTGATTTCCAACTTCTTTCAGTGCAGTAAGATACATAATATATATATAATATCAACTCTTTACTTATCTAAAATAGAAAATACCAGTCACTTCTATAACCAAAATCTACTGAATAATCAAAACCCAAATCAGTTTTATTTTTTCTTTCAAGCAGAAAGTTCAACAATAAAAAAACAAAGACGATTTCTTCAGCACAGCAGTCTTTTTAAGTAGAGATTCTCAAGCACCTTTTGTAGAAAAAATACTAGATCTATCCACTGAGTTTTTCATTCATTTTCAGTTTACAAATAAAGCACTGGTAAAGTAAGACAGGTGTAAGACCTACCTTGGTTTCAAAGAGTTGATTGTATGCTGTTATTAATTGATCCTTAGTAGCTGTTTTAGCCACATTTTTTATCTGACCAAGCAACTTGTGCTCTGCAAGAAACTACAAACAAAACTTAAGATTAGTTCAGCTACCTGTAATAAATGACAAGCTTTCCTATACTGCAAAGTGAGCTGGAATAGTACCTACACTTTACAAAATGGAAATTTGAAGTCTATATAAAGTTTCTGATAACATCAAATAAATCCAATTATTGCTCCTGAAATCCAAAATCATGTGATTCCTATACCAAGAAATCCATTCAGGGTGTTCACAGCAAACTGCAGAACAGAACCCAATCATAAGACAGAAAAAGAGCAAAACACACAGTTGAAAAGAATACTATTCTCTTCCTCTTGATTTTTCATATCTGCCAATTTTATGGAAGATAAACAAATTCATTTGCAATGTAAGTAAACCATGAAATTGCAGATCAGCTTTAAATTTAAAAATAAATCACTATTTCACAATATTCCAAATAAAAATGTCTATGATCTTATCTCCATAAATCTAAATCAGCTTAAATTAAAAATATAAGGTACTGCCCTTCTCCTTTGCTCTTGGATTCATCTAAACTATTTCAATTTGAAAAAAATTAGGATATTTTTTTATCCCCTAGCAATTCCTTTCGTATTAACACAGATAACAGATGAATGGCTACTGGAAGCCCTCTCCAAGGCCTACTTTTTGATACATAATCCAAAGGGCAGTTTTCTTGCATTTCAAAAAAAAAAAGACTATTGCCTTTAACAGCATTATTTTAATGTTTTGCTATGCTTTGAAATTCAAAGCAAAGTATGCCAAATGGCATCCAATGATCACTCAACAAATCACAAGGAAAAAAAATCAATATATTAAAATCTGCAAGAATGAATTAGTGCAGGAGCACTAATTTATAATCTATGGTTATAAATTACTTTATCTTGGCCTGTCAGTAATGGAATCAGCAATCCCTATCCCCTCCCAACCGCCCCCCTCACAAGCGTAGGAAGGCTGTTTTTCCCCCCGCTATGCTTACGACCACAGCCCATGTGGGAATGCCGCAGCCACGTGAAATGAAAAAGGGGAGGCAAGATAACTCAGTCCCACCGAAAGGCTCTCATCACAACCGAAGAGAGATCTATATGGTTCGCTTCCAAGAGCGGGACAGGGTTAAAGAAAGAGGGAGCCCTGACTAAAAGAAACTGGGCAACGAGGGCTAAAAAAGGCAGGAGAGGAGGGGACTTCGCAACTTTGCACACATCTCCTGGCCACATTAAAGCTACACGAATCCAGGCTAACCCGCATGGGTGGAGCCTGCCCACCCGTCAGATCGCGCCTCGGATCCCCTACCCTATGTGCCGCTTGGTCCTGCAGAAAGTGGACAATCTCCCGCTTGGGCAGCTCCTCGCTCCGCAGCTCCTCCAGGCTCCAAGGGCGCGCGCGGTCCGCCATTACATCGCCTCAAACGCAGGCGCCCACTCGGAGAAAGTCCGGGAACTCTTCAGGTTCCCCTCACAAGCCCACAGCACAAAACACAATTGCAGCACACTTTGGCGCGCCCCGCCACCTCCATCCATACGCGGTTCCGTTCGCCTCTTCCCGTTGGGCATGCTGGGTAGCGTAGTTTACCCGAGAAAGCAGAGGCTCCTGTTCCGTGATTGGCTGGACCAGACCAGACAAGCCAGACTGGCAGAGCAATTTCCGATGCATTTAGATTGTAATTTAAAATAAATTAGATAGACAGAATAACTTTATTGTCACTTTGAATGTACGCTAATCGGCATCGGAATTTCGTGGAAAGTTGGTTGTTCCCTTTAAAAAATCCTAGTTCTACCTTATATTTCTACTTCTTGATTTCTGTTCTAGGGGGACTGCGCGGTATACGGGGCATCAAAAACGCAGAACCAAGCTACCAGAGAAATCGCCCCAACAGGGAATCTTCGCAAGGTATGCTAGGAAGCGTACTCCGTTCCTGCTTTGACTCCCGTCAAGACTTGCGCAATAGTTTTGCAAGAAAATTTAAGCGTGGATGTTAATAGTTGAGTGTTTTTTTTAATGTCAGAAATGGAGATTTAAGATAACGTAACCTTTATTGACACTTTTTTCTGTGAGCACACTGGCACACATTAAAAATGAAATTCTGATGCTCACTCTCAAAGATATATATATAAAATTCTTTTGAGAGTGGGCATGAACGCACGTCTTTCTGCCTCTCTCTCTCTCTCTCACAAACACATATATATATTAATCACACTACATTTTGAATACATAGCGGAAAAAGATTCTGGAAAGTTAAAAAGCCAAATGCTCGCCTGTGATATTCCTAACAGTTCTTTGACAAAGTCTTGCAAGTGATTAGTTGAAACAGACATCGTCTTAGTTGCATGTCTGCAGGCGCTTCAGTAATAAACGGGGGGCGGGGGGAGTTGGTCCCTTCGTTGTCGGAGCCTCTATTTCTGATATAAACGAATAAAAAAGATCCAGTCTGGGTCGGTCACCTGGAACAGAGGTTTTGGCTAGAGAGAAGTTCCCTAAATATGGGCTTCAGCCACGAGTCCAAAAGCTCGGGAGATTAAAAAAAAAAAAAAACACCCTCTGATCCCAGTGATCAACCCAGATCGGATCCTGCAACATTATCCTTCATCCGCCTTCGTTCATAGGGGGTGGGGGAGGAGAATAGCGAACGAATGGAATCACGTGACCGATCCGCCTCTCTTCAATTCGGCCAATCAGGGCCCTCCTCGAAGCTGGCGGGTTTTTCGGCGGCCGACAAGATGGCGTCGCTGCCCATTGAGAGGGGTTGCGGGAGAACAGCGGGAAGGCGACAACGGCGGCGGCGCTGCTGAAATGAAAGGCAGAAGCCGGCAGGCCACGCTCTTCCAAGCATGGGGAACGCAGCCGACTCCTGCGCCGGCTGCGGAAGAGGAGGAAGAAGAAGAGGCGGCGCTGCTGGCTGCAGCCATAGAAGCCGAGGCAGCGGATTCGCCGTCCTCTTGGCCCCCTCCGTCAGGCGCTTCGGCTGCCCGGGGATTCATCGGCGGCGCGCCGGGCGCTCTGTGGATGTTCCCGTCCGGCGGCTGCGTGGAGGAGCGCGCCTACCAAGTTCGAGCGTCGTGGGAAGCGCTCCTGGCCAACACGCTGCTCTGCCTGCCGACAGGGTTGGGCAAAACACTGGTAGCCGCCGTGGTCATGTACAATTTCTACCGGTGGTTCCCCGGCGGCAAGATCCTCTTCCTGGCCCCGACCAAGCCTTTGGTGGCTCAGCAACGGGAGGCGTGCGCCCGCCTCCTGGGCATTCCCGCTGCGCATATGGCCGAGATGACGGGTGGGTGTTTGGTCACGTTCGGCCCGTGTCTCAGGATCGCGCTGCTTTCGCAGGAGCCGACTTAGTGTCTTTGTCTGCTCCGTGGGAAGCTAAGCCGGGTGTGATCACTAGTGGGGGTGGGAGCAGAGTTGTAAGACTATGAAGTTGAAAAGAAGTTCTAGGATAAGGCACCTCTTTTATCCCTGGAAACAAAAAAGTAGTGAAACTGGACCGAAAGGATTTCTTTTTTATTCTTTCAACGGGCCTGTTTCGATTGGATCGATATCACCATCCAAACAGCCCCAATCTGTTGATGTGTCGCATCTCGTATGTATTAAGCTTTGACTAGGTTGTTGGTTTCATTGTAGGGTTTATCTTGTCCCTTATTCAGCAGTCTTGTTTTTAAAAAAATAAAGGCTGAAGGGTGTTGTGTGTATTTCTCTACACAGAAGTAAATTGAATGGCAGTTGTGACTTTTAGGAGCAGCACAAGGTAGATCTTTGTTAATTTATTTTTAGATATTAGATGTTTATTTGCAAAATCCAGTCTTTCTGTACAAAGCTGCATAATTTAGGAGGAAAGCTTGTAATACCTGTTATTACGGTATTTCTCAGGTTTTTTTCATGTGGTTTATTTGCATTCCTGCTTATGTGCTAAATTTTGACTTTCACCAAGTCTGCACTCAAACTAGTTAAGAGAAATGTGGTTAAATCTAGCCATTAAATCCTTTCAGAGTGGAATTTCTTAAATTAATTACCTGTTTTCTTACCATAGTCTCAAATATTATTCCCACAAACTTGATTATTGTTTACTCAAGTATTTTGGAAGGGGCAGTCCCTAACTGTTACTCCATTACCCTGGGATATGTTCAGATTACCTCCTTGGCAGTATTTATCCCCAGTTTTAAGAACTACTGCTCTGCATGTTTAAAATGGGTAGAGGATTTAATCCTGATTATTTTGAGTATATTTTTTACAAAATGAAATGTGTGTGTGTGTGAATATGTAGGCTTCTAGTACCCAAACACACCAAGGATACTTGCAATGAACCAGTCTTGCTGGGACTTTCTGTTTTCCAAGCTTGTACTTTCTGTTTTCCAAGCTAGTGTTAACTATTTGGTGAGTTGTAATTCAACAGATTTGGTGGATTTTAGTTTTAAAAAAATAGTTCAAGTGAATTTCCTCAATTTGATCTGTGACTATTCATGATCACAAGTAATTTTCTATTTTCAGCACAGTATTACCAGTATCATTTTGAAATGCTGTCACTAAAAAAATATTTTTCTGGCTAGTAATGTAGAAACCTGAAGGCTGATTTTTAAATGTATAAGAATGCATTTAATGTAAACTCTACTAGAATATATAGTTCATATTAATTGCTAGTAAATGGCTGCACTATGTACAATATGTTTAGACATACACGTTTTTCTTATCTTTTCTCAGGAGGTACTCAAATTGTTGATCGGAAAGAAATCTGGCGCACCAAAAGAGTCTTCTTTCTCACTCCTCAAATAATGGCAAATGATCTCTCTCGTGGCACATGTCCAGCAGCAGAAATTAAATGCCTGGTTATTGATGAAGCCCATAAAGCGCTTGGAAATCATGCATATTGTCAGGTATTGTGGGGTTGTACAAGCTTATACTCTGTCTCTGAATAGATTATTATTTAAAAAGCAGTCTACTTGGGAGCACATATTAACCTGAACTAATTTCTAAACGGAGATTTTAAATTGGATCAAGACACTACTGCTCTAAAGTATCTTCTGGCTGTTGATGAGCACTTTAGAATCTGGTTAGGCTATTTTGAACTGATTTAGAATTGTATATTTACATAGACTTTTCAGTACATGTATTGAAAAAGACTGCAACAAAAAACAGGATTTTAGGAAAAATTCCACTTTTCATTCTACAGGCACAAACTTTTTTTTTGGCCACTAGGTGGCTCTTAAATGTCATCTTATAGGTAGAAAATCTTGTATTGGTTTTAAGTAGTAAATCTGAAGTAGATTCTGTTTTACCTCTAGCTAGTACGCCCAAGTATGCATTTCTTTTCTATTTTATTTTTTATTTCCAGATTTTTTTTGATGTGGGATTAATCTTTTTCTACTTTTTTCTGCATTTCAACATAACAGAAGAGGCAACATATAAATAATATAATTTGAGTAAGAATGTTATCAAAGAAAAGGAAGAAAAAATCTAGAAAAAGTGTTTGGTCCTAGGGCAATAAAAGGAAAAGGGGAAATCAACAGCTATTTTGATAGAAGACATGGTATCTATCTCATCTTTTAAACTCTGATTTCTGGCAATACTAATAACAGTGGAAGTCAGAATAGAAAAAATAAAAAAAATGGAATGTTTAAGTTAGAGTTTATAACTCAAACATTCCAACTTTTTGAGGGTCTCACAGCTGCAAAAATTGCTGCACTGAAAGCTGACAATTTTGCAGTTTATTTTCAGCAGTGTGGTCTCATGGAACTCTGTGTATGTATTTAAACTCTTAACCAGAAAATAAATATCGTCTGGGTTTTATCACATAGCATAAGTTTACAAATACAGGCTTAAACCACAGCAAGATACAAATTTATTTTACTGAAACTGATTTTTGGTTTTCTGTTAGATGCTACTAATTTGAGAGTCAGAATTTGCTTTGTTCATATTTTGCATGTTATCAGAATTATGCTGGATGTAATAGAATAAACTTAGTGGTGATGAAAGTTATTCTCCCTTCAGGTTGTGAAAGAATTATGCAAATACACCAAAGAGTTTCGAGTCTTGGCACTAAGTGCAACTCCTGGCAGTGATGCAAAGGTGAGTCAATTCTTTTTGTTGAGGGAGCTAGATTTTCTTAATAATTATACATTATCTCTGTTGATTTTAAAGCTACTGCTATACTTGAATGCACCTCAGTTCTCCAGAGTTGTTTTCCTCCTTACACAGTTTTTTTTTATCAGCTGACAGTTTAAACAGACAGTAGGGAAGGGCCCCAAACTATTCCTTAATAGGTGCTATTAGTAAAATATTGGAAGCTACTGCGATCTTCTATAAATACATTGTGAAGTGAAGTGCAGTATTTATGTTTTGGGTATTTTTTTTTACCAGTTTTGAGGGGTAAGCTTTTAAAATTAACTTAAAAGAAATACACTCACAAGATTATCCCAACTTTTTTTTTTTAATTTAAAAATCATAGATGCACAGCCAGCCTGACATTGGCAATTTTGTGATGGATAATTAGGTGTTTGCATCTTAATAAGTTTGCTTTAACCCCAGTTAGGACAACTTGAATTTTTCCCTCATTTACTCTTTAATATTTACAGACTGTGAAGATTAGTAAAAGACTTCAGCTCTGAAATTCTGTGTCCAAATGTCTGATTTTTTATTATGCTAACATATGCCTAACAGAGATGCAGCACAATTTTATTTGCCACTTTTTTTAACAGGCTGTACAGCAGGTTATTACCAACCTGTTAATTTCCCACATAGAACTTTGCTCTGAAGATTCTCCTGATATACAGCCTTATTCTCATGAGCGACGAATTGAAAAATGTGTTGTTCCACTTGGGAAAGAATTGACTGAAATTCAGAATGCTTACATACGGGTGAGTTTCATTCTGTTTTAGAATTATGAAAATGAAGGTAGAATTAACATGCAGGAATTAGGTAAAATTTTATTCAACATTTTGTTGTACCCAACATGGGTTCAACAGCCAATAAAAACCACCAGATACAAGGAATGGCATGTTTTATTGGAGTACTCCAACAAAAGAGTCTCAGAAGCTAAAGGAGCCAAGACCCAGAACCATGCACAAATACAAAATTTATACAGCTATGATTAAGGAAGTTAACACCCTAAGAATAAATAATTGGTTCCTTGGCACATGTTTCTTTTGATCGGTTTCTTCTACTTTACCCTTCTTCATACATCACATATTTATGTTAATAAGCTTATCAAAAGAGGTGTGTCTTTTACTATTATAAGGTAGAGGTTGCCAAAGGTTATATATCTATGTGCCTTAGCTAGCATTTGTCTAGCATGTCCTAACTTCTAACTTTCTTGTTGCTAGGCAGTACTGTCCCACCATTTGTTACACTCATCACAGCTGCAACTTTCTGTATTAGCAATTCCTTTAACAACCTTTTCTAATTCCATCCTGAGTCCTTCAACTTGAAATACAAGATAATAATTAAATTTATTTCTCATTTTACTAAGGGAGTTCTGCTCATTGAACCTGTTAAATAAAACACTGAATTTAGTGGTGTGTTTCTGAACTTATTTTTCAGTAGTTTAAAACTTTGAACAGTGACATGTAATTAAAGCAGATTGACAATAGAATGCTTAACAGTGTTGGTGAATTTTCCTGATTGGGTTTGCATTTTGCTGCAGTTTCTCATTAAAGTCACTCTAGCGTGTCTGATCAAAGGTTGTAGTTTATTCTTGGAAGAATTCAGAAACTGGCTTTGGACAGGTTTGTAATTAAGTAGATGCTGAACTTGGAAAGGATATTTGGAGATCTTGTACTTTAATTTTCTAGTTGGCCTTGTGCAGACTACATTATAATGAGCTGTAATTATGATTGCTTTATAAATGTTTGTAACAAACAAATCTTTGTTAAAATTAAAATCTCAGACATTTCAGAGAATCTTCAGCACTAGCCTCAAAAAACAACTATTGATTTTAGATGGTAATGATGAGTTATATTTGTGGCCAGATTTACTGTCTTCTGTAGTTATAGTCTTGGTTTTGGTTAATGCATTTAATTACTGTTTGATTATTACATTGTTAACTGTTTTCTTTTTATACCGCTATTTATCTTAAAGGAGCCCAAAATGGTATACAAAATATAAAAAACATCCTTCCACGAAAAAAAAATTGAGGAGGGTGGTGGGGAAGTGAGCTATAAAATGAAACAATTGTACAAGGAATAGAACAGTTATAAAGAATTAAATCAAAAGTGTTTTCCTCGGATAGTTGTTAACATGCAAGTGTCTGGAAAAACAAACTTGTCCAACAAAGATTAAAACAAGGTAGGGAAGTAGTTGTATTCTCAGTAGAGAATTTTATAACTGGGAATCTGCCAAGGAAAAAGCCTTACTTCAGGTCAGCGTACAGTGAATCATAACCACCTTTGGGGCCACAACAGGACTTTTATACCAATCGTATCATATGGTTTAAATAACGTTGGAGGCATCTTTTCAAATAATTGGGTCTTTTTATTTATGGCTTTGTAGGTTTATGTCCAAATAATGGTGTAGGCTTTTATGGCAGGCATCATGTAACAGGAAGTGTTGAGTTTCAGGCAGTGGTGGAATTCAAATTTTTTTTACTACCAGTTATGTGGGCATGGCTTGTTTGGTGGGCGTGGCTTGTCATGTAACTGGGTGGGTATGGCTTAGTGGTCAAGTGACTGGGTGGGCGGGGCCAACTCAATGTCACTCACATCAAGGGGTGCCTCACGTGGCCCCTCCCCTCCCAGCCATTCCTTGTCACCCAGCCTCAACTTATCTATAGTTTTGTAAAAATGTTGTTCACCTTTTTTGACTTTATTATCTGCATACTATAGATGTACTTTCATGGACCACTGAAAGGAGGAAATGGCTCACATGCTTTACTCAAGAGTGTGATAGGCAACAGGCTTTTAAGGGGCTGCCACAAAGAAAAGGGGACAATGTATTTTCCAAAGAAGCAGAATGCAAACAAGAAGCAATGGATGGAAACTGAACAGAGAGAAACAACCTATGGAGAAACTTCCTGACAGTGAGAACAATTAACCAGTGGAACTGCCTGTCGCCAGAAGTTTTGGGTGCTCAATCACTGGAAGTTTTTAAGAAAAGACTGGACAGCCATTTCTCTGAAATGGTATAGGGTTCACCCCAAGGTCTCTTCTAAGGATTATTCTGAAACCTTTCCCAGGATTTCTACTTAGAGTTTGGCATCCTCAGTTTTCTTGCCTGAGCTGGGGGTTGGACTAGAAGACCTCCAAGGTCCCTTTCAACTCTTGATAAACACATGTGTATTTTATGCTCTGGACTATTAACATTGAATGCATGTAAACCCTGAAAAATATGTGGTAGCCCTGGGCAAAAGAAAGGCAGAAAAATCATTCTAGGTGTAGAGACAGTGTAAAATATTAACACATAAACAATGGAACAATTAAAAATAATAGCACAGAGTTTTATCTCTCTCTCTCTCTCTCTCTCTCTCTCTCTCTCCCTCCCTCCCTCCCTCCCTCCCACACACACACACACACACAGCACTTAATAGACAAGCATTTTGGAAGCAGCTCCTTTAAATTTCTCCAAGGCTTGAGTGGATTCCCCCACCCCCTCTGTCAGACCGCACTCCTTCTCACTCCAGCACTTTAACTCACAAGGGGGAAGTGATACTTGCATGTCCATGCCTTTCTTCCTTTTCCCCCGGGGAGAAAGAGCATGTGGGGAACTGAAAGCTAGGTGAGCGACCGGGTGACCAGGTTGGGGGCATGGCCAGCCAAGAATTGCCACCAGTTCGGCAACCCATGCCAAATAACCGCTACCAGTTCGCCTGAATAGGTGCAAACCGGTTGAAAAGTACCTCTGGTTTCAGGGTTTAGTGACTACTGTCAGTAAATTTTGAAGCTCAACACTGTGTGTGCTGGATAATAATTTCTGCATTGAGCCTTGATTATTGTATTTTTTTTGGGGGGTGTCCTATGCTTTATTCCATCATGGTCAGGGTGAACTTGTCAGTAGAGGCATAGGCAACACCTATGGAGCACAATGTGGCTGGGCTGGGGTGTACTGAGCTGAGGAGTGGCTGAGTCTTCCAAGGCTGGCTGTAGCATTAGCTTCAGCTCCAGGGTTTCTTGCAGCCTCAGATCCACAGTGCCCCAAGAATCTCGTGAGCTGCAGCAAATACTTTCTCTAATATCCCTGTGTTTGTGCTACACTGTCCCTCATCTCGCATACAGACTCTGCCAGGCCTCCCATCTCTCTGCGGCACTCCTCCCTCTGGTGAACATCCCACACATCTGGAGTTATGACTAACCAAGAGAGCCAGGATTGGATTCATTAAGCAGTGTGGTCATGTGATATCTCACTTTATAATCACATTGCCTTAGCAAATGAAATTTCTGTCTCAACTATGGTCATAAATTGAGGATTATCTGTATAGCATTTGTATCTCTCTACTCTCTTTTATGTTCAGGTCTTGGAAATTTTTACTAGTCGGCTAAGTAGACTCCAGGTGTTACCACGACATGAAATATCTGCTCTTACAAAGTATCAGATAATTCTAGCACGAGATCAATTTAGGAAAAACCCTGCTTCACGTTTTGAGGTACATATTCTCCAGAAGTATATCATTTGTTTTCTTTTTATATAATCAGATTTGTAATTGGTCACATTCAAATGCACATCTGGGATGTGATGGACTGGCCCCTCTGTTTCCCATGGGGCAGGGGGAGGTCTCAGGCCTTCTCTCACAGTTTTTTTTTTTTTACTACAGCCTCTTTTTATGTTTGCAGAGCCTTTTCAGGAAAACCTACACAAAACTTTTTCACAGTGGCACTCAAGAATAGATAAAGTAATGATCTTTTTTTTTTCCTGCTTTGCTCCCTTTTTCTACCTAATCAAGCAGGGATAAATGTGCTTAGATTAAAATCCCTTCAGAATTAAAATAGCTTTCAGTAAGAATCCAAGTTATTTATCATGAATACTAAAATCAAAGTACTAAAACAGAGTTGAAAAGGAGAAAACAATGTCCAGGTTTTATTCCTTTAGCCATGAGCACTGACGTGCATGCACAGAGTTAGCATAAAATAACGAAAGCATCAAATCATTTACCATAACATTAAAAGCAAAGCTCTAGTTCCACTTCTACCTCCTATGTGCTTCTTATCTACAGGGGTCCCCAACCCGCAAGCCATGGCCCGTTCCGAACCAGGCAATGGAAGTGTGGCGGAGTGCACATGCATGCCAAGCTGCATTTGTGGAAGTGTGCACACACAAAACCATGCCCCCCTTTCTGGCTGAGCCAGAACTTTTTCTGGTTTAATGTACTTTTTCTGGATCTCCAATCCAACCATTGGGTTACAGAATTCCTTATCTAACTCTGCAATGTCTAGGAAAAAGAGGTGCCCAAATTGCCTTACGAAAAGGCAATTTTTGTGGACTTTAGATAAAGGCTTTATCCGTTTATCTGAATAAATTCAGATTCTTTCAGTGTTTGTCTCAAACATGGATTTTTTTCTCATTACTGTTTTCTATCCCATTTATGTAGCATTTTAACTTAAGCCCCCTTGTCAGAACAAACATTTGCAGAAGTATAAATGCAACAGTTAGGCAACCGTCTCCGAACAACAGAAAAATAGGTTCCCTGATGGGCAGTGATAGAGAAATCTAATCCAGGCTTTAACTTTCAAAGCATCTGATCATTTTCAGTAAGCTTGAAATTGAATAGAAAGTGCTTACATAGTTACTCAGGTGGAGGTCTATCTTACTTTATTATTTACTTAAACTGTAGGTAGAATCACAGTAAAATAGCTGTTACAACTGAATCTGTGTAACTATAATTTTGTGGCTGAAATTAGAAATGTCTTTTTCCCCAGCGAATGCAGCAAGGTGCAATAGAGGGAGATTTTGCTCTTTGTATAAGTTTATATCATGGTTACGAACTGTTATTGCAAATGGGAATGAGATCATTACATACCTTCTTACATGGAATTATGGATGGATCAAAAGGTAAGGAATCTGTTTTTATTCCCATTTCAACTTAATCATGGGCATTTAGATGTATTATACATGTATATTAAAATATTTTAAAGAAATATTAGAAATCTGGTTATACTGGTCTACGACTAATCAACTGAACTGCTTGGAAATAAAATGTATTTAGAAGTGTGGAAGATATGGGAATAAAACATTGTTTTCACATTTGCTAATTCATAAATTAATTTGAAATATATATTGTAATGCTTCTAAAGATGTCAGAAAGTTCTTCCATGTATATTTTATTATTATTAAAAAATGACAATTAAGTCTGTTTAGAAAATAGTGTAAACACTACAAAAACCAAAATGTTCTTAAGAGAAAAAATTGGCATGTAGTAATGTAGAAGATCCAGATATTGACAGTGATTTCAGTTTTTTCAATCGGTTCTTACCAGAGGGGAAAAACACATAATTCACCCATTCTGGAAGAAGCACCATTGACAACCTTTGGGTATAAAAAGCTGAGACAAAATAGAATATACTGCTTTTTAGTTGATTTGAACCATACCCATCAATCACTGATCTCAGACTGATGGTTTTGAAGAAATTGGAATTCAGTGAATAAAATTAATATTTAGGCTTTCCAAAGTACTTTTTAATATAAGGCTGAATAAGATGGAATTAGCATAATAAGGTCCCTGTCTCAAGTCTTTTGTCTGTGTCTCATGTTTTGTCTTTTCTATAGTCGTTCATTCCAGAGATCTTTATTTTTGATATCAGAGTAATAGATAGAATTGCCGCCTGGCAATAATGAAAATGGGACTATATTAAAAGAGACAAAGATAGACACACATCATGAATATGAGGAATGTGTCCAGCCAACACAAACCTACTATTTTCTTTAACTGGTTCACCTAAGTCTATCCAAGATAGATGTTTTTCTACATATTTTTTCCAGTATAGAATGTATTTTATTCTATTATCTAAAAATAGTGTCTGTCTGTCTGTCTATGGAGATTCTCAGAGCTGAAGAAGCTTCTCGGATGAGAAGCGAAACATCTTTAAAAAAAACCCCAGAAAGTTCAGTTGCCTCTTGAAAAAGCACCTTTGGGATTTTGTTGACAGTCATTTTCAAATATTTGAATTAGAACTTTATCATAATGCTGACTACTACTTCATAGGAGAATAATTGCCAGTGAGGAGTTGGAATGAGCCTATCCTTCATTACAGGAATTCAGGCAAAAAAAGGATGGAAACCTATTAGGAAAACTGTAGTAGTAGAGGAGCTACATCAGTGACAGCATGACTTAAAAGATCTTTAATGTCCTTTCCAGCTGAATTAATTATGTTGTTGTAATACTGCATTATCCTTTATCTGTGTCTGAGAGACAAGACTTATTGCAGTCATTAACCGGTACACTTATCTGTGTTTTTTTTACTATTAATTTTCACTGCAGACTACAAAACTGTCTAGCTTGATGTACAGTTTATGTAAGTCAGAGATCTAAAGTTTAACGTTTTTAAATTCAGCTACTTTTCTTTCTAAGGAATGACTCGAGCCAAAAATGAACTTGGGCGTAATGAAGAATTCATGATGCTGTACAGTCAGCTTGAAAACATGTTTTTGGATTCAGCTTCATCAAATGGCAACATCATTGAACTAGGTTGGCAATTTATCTACTCAAAATACAGCAGTGTTATTTGTTCAGCATAGCAAGTGATTACTAAGGATTGAAGGATATTTTTAAAATACCCATGGATATTCCTGGTGAAGACTGTCTTTATATAGTATGAATATTGTGGCTTAAGGGAATACTAATTTTTTCAGATATTAAAAAGTACCTCTATTTTATTTTAAATTTGATATCGCTCTTATTTATTTTAACAAATTTCTGCTCTTCCTCCACCAGTTTTCTTGTCAACATTTTTGGGAGTGGTTTATCATTGCTTTCTTCCTTGGGCTGAGAGAATGTGACTACGTCAGAATTATTTGACTGGCTTTATGCCGAAGGCAGGGTTAGAACTCACAATCCTCCAATCTCTAGCCTAATATTTTAACCACTATACAAACTGAAGTTTTCTATCGAAGTTACATTTGAATAAATTATAAAAAATTAATTGTACGATATATCTATTTCTGTTCTTCCTGTATTCATTAAATTTCTATAGTGGCCCAATTCATCCAAGTGACTCTGGGCAGGTTACAATTCTAAGTATATTTTATAATTCAGTTGTACATTCTACAACTGAATTCTACAAATCAACAGAACTGGAGAAGTTTCTTGAATGAGAAGCGAAATATTTTCAAGAAAAAAACTGAAAGCCCAATTGTCTTTTAAAAAGCACCTTTGGGACAACCATGACCTGGATAATTGAGAATCTCCATAGACATTTACAATTCTATAAAACAATTTAAAACGATGTCCCAAATGTGCTTTTTCAGGAGGCAACTGATTCCATTCCCTACTATCCAGTCAGAGCTGAAGAAGCTTCTTGGATGAGAAGCAAAATGTCTTCAAGAAAAAAACAAGAAAGTTCAGCTACCTACTGAAAAAGCACCTTTGGGACAACTGTGACCTGGATGACTGAGAATCTCTACAGAATTTAAAACAATAAAACAGTAAAACATCTAGAAAATACATACAGCAATTCTAAACTTATAAAACAATTAAGAATAATAAAATAGTAAAAACATTCAGAAAATACATACAGCAAGATAATTAACTGGCTAACAGTAAAACCAAGTAACAACGTTGTTAGCATATTCCATAACGGGGTTCAGCAGACTAGTCCCGTCTTCTAGTTCCCGCCATGATGGGATTTGAGGCATACCTAATCTGCTGGATTGAATTGGATGGGTAGAGACTCTTGGAAAAAGACAATCTCTCAGCTAACTGGTAAACTTACAGGATTTTCCCTTAATGATAGGATTAAGGAGATAATTTTATTATATTCTGAATTTTAACTTCACAGAGGAGATTTTTTTTTTTGAAAAAGATAAAGCTGTCTGGATTTTTATTTCTAAAATTAAAAATTTCGGGTTTACAGGAGCTGAAAACACGAAGACTTTCATTTATAGCCATCCCAAATTAAAGAAATTAGAAGATGTTGTTCTACAACATTTCAGATCCTGGAGAAAACATCAAGGTACATATAGGATGTAATTGGACTGCTAATGAAAAAGCTACAAGTAATCAATTAGTATTGTTCAATAAAATTGATTTGATTTTATGCAGGAAATCCCTTTTTGGGTTTATATTCCACACCCTAATGTTTTCTACTTTGAATTTTAAGATTATGGATTATTTACTCTTTAATATTTTGCCATTCACTTTATACCGTCCTTATTTAAGAAATTCTGGCTAATATTTGGTTTACCAGTATATGCAACTTTCACTCCAACACAATTTATCATTTAAAAATAAATGTTCTTTGTTTCTATACTTCTTTTTTAACTCTACTAGTTCCATTTTACCAGCATGATGCTTAGTTTTGATTAGGATACTAGTCAGTGATATTGATTAACTGGAGATTTTGCATGTGGCAATTTGTACCAAACTTCTCCATTTGTGTTCATCGTGGTACAGTTCATTGGTTTGCTTTCTCTATTACATAGATCAGATTACATCTGAAGTGACACCTACAGATACCAGAGTGATGATCTTCTCCTCCTTCCGTGACAGTGTTCAGGAAATTGCAGAGATGCTTAACTATCACTACCCACTTGTGAGAGTCATGACTTTTGTAGGCCATTCTACAGGCAAAAACACTAAGGGTTTTACACAAAAGGAACAGCTTGAGGTAATGAAATGGGTGGAAGCAGAGATACAAATTGTCTTACACAGTATAACAAATGTTACCCTTGGTATATTTGTAAATTATCATCCAAAACAGATTTCTGATGCCAAGAAAATGGGTTTGTAATATAGCAATACCCGTAAAAATTCTTAAAATTATGCTGCACTGCGCAAAATTTAATTTAACTGCTGTAATCACATGACATAAGTTAAATTCACTTGAAATGAATAAAACTCAAATTTATAACTGCCCTGCTTACAGTTATAAACACGTGATCATTATTTGGTTGTGGAATCTCAGTGTTTTTCAGATGTGTAATATTATTCCATTTTTCAAATAATAACTCGTTCCTTCTTAGTTATTTTTAATAACAAAAAGTAGTCATTCTTCCTATAGAAATAAAATGTAATGAGAAGCAGAATTTCATAGCTCATAGCTTTCATGTATCAGCTGCTCCTTGAGAATTTGTCTTGCTCCCAAATGCCAGAGTTGCAGAAAACCAGGGAGTGGCTTTCAAAGTTCTTCCATCACCATAAAAGAAACCAGGTAACCGTTGTGTCCTTTCAGCACCCCTCCAAAAGGAATATGGGTTTAAAAATACCTAGTGCTCTAGTCATCTTTGACCCCTTAGAGAATCAGGAAAGCCTATCTGCTCTCAACATTTTCTGCCTGCTTTCTGTCTCTCATTCTCAATGTGGATACTGAGAACTAAAAAGATACGGTCATTTTATAGGGCTCCTCCGAGTTTGTTTCTGATTCAGCAACAGGGAAATTTCCATAGTTATTGCTTCATTAAGCTTCTCAGCTGTGCACAATATGGTTCATCAAGTTAAGGTTATTTGGGGACTTCTTGGGATAAAATTAGACCATCTCTCTTTGTCTCCAACTGGACTAGAGCGTTCACATGACATAGCAACATATAACTGCTTTCACTTGATTAAGAAAGTGGCATAGATAGAGTGAGAAAATTATATGTGTACATTATATTTGTCCTTCCCTCTTTTGGATCTTTGTGATTGTGATTACTATCAATTGCTAATGCATTGTGTAGAAAACAAAACGTTTTGTAATAGAGCAGTATAGTAATTGATAAATCTAAGTTGACTGAACAGTTGAACAACTTAAACTGATCCTACTTGTTTGCATAGAGTTATTATCTAAAAAAGTTCAATTGTTCCATATGACTTAGTGCCAGTTTACCTTCCTCTACCCTGAGAGGTATACAGTTTTCATTTCTCTGTATCTTATGCATTTTCTGAATTCTATGACATCTGCTATCTCATAATATTTCCTTGCTTACATGGATTTGTTGTCTTAACAACTACCAGAATCAAGCTAAAGCTTGTTTAAATTTTCCTTTAGGTAGTGAAGCATTTCCGGGAGGGCGGCTACAACACATTGGTCTCCACGTGTGTAGGAGAAGAAGGCTTGGATATTGGAGAAGTAGACCTCATCATTTGTTTTGATGCTCAAAAAAGTCCAATTCGTCTTGTGCAGCGAATGGGCCGAACTGGACGCAAACGGCAAGGGCGCATTGTTGTCATTCTTTCTGAAGGAAGGGAAGAGCGAGTAAGCTGAGACTCCAAACCCAAGTTTTGCTCACTGCCTAAAAAATTCTAGGCACAGGGATTTTGGTGTTCTAAAGGTTTCCAAAAATTCCATTCAAATTCTAGGTCTTGCCACCAAATAAAGTTGAAAGAAGGTAATAAGTGAACTAGCAGGTCCTGGCACTGCCCTGGTGGTGATAGCGCTTTGTGCTTAGCCCTAAGAAGTTTACAGAGTCAGCCTATTGCCCCCAACAATTTGGGCCCTCATTTTACCCACCTCGGAAGGATGAAAGGCTGAGTCAACCTTGAGCCTGGTGAAATTTGAATTGCCAAATTGCAGGCAGCTGGCAATCAGCAGAAGTAGCCTGCAGTACTGCACTGTAACCACTGGTTCTGATGTCATCAGTAATATGTTTGAATAAATCCCACCAGGCTCCAGGTTGACTCAGCCTTCCATCCGAGGCGGATAAAATGAGGACCTAGATTGTTGGGGGTAATATGCTGATTCTGTAAACCACTTTGAGAGGGCCAGTCACTCACAACCCAACTCACTGGGTTGTGGGGAAAACAGAAGGTGAAATGAATATTGGGTGTGTTCACCATTTTGAGTTATGTATAAAAATAATAAAGGTGGGATAAAAATAAATAAATTAACAGGAGGAATGTAATTTATTTTAATAATATTCGTTCAGTAAATGTGGAGAGACGTATTTGACTTTCTTTTCTTTAGGCAAGAATAAAGAGGTACATAAAATAATATTATCACATTTAAAAAAAAAAGAATTGAAGTTAGAATAATTGTGGGCAGCATGATTTTTAACAACGTGTTGGTGGAGTCACAATTATGCTGCTGCTCTTTTATTCTGTTCCAATAAATCCTGACTACCTTACGTTAATGACACTTTCTTTTTGCATTATGTTTCTTCACTCAATAAGCTTTATGGAGTTCCTGGTCAGGGTTTAATCCTTTATAATTGCATACATCACAGACTATTTTAAGTGCTATTGTATTAGATGGCCATTTAGTAAAAATGTTAACATAGATATAATTAAGACTATTGACTGTGCCAACACTTTGCTTTCCTTTATCCATAAATTCAGTAAATAAATATTAAAAACCACCTGAACATTATCAGACATGGGGTAATAGTGGGAGGACATAACCTGAGTTCTGCAAATAAGTTCTGACATGACATAGGCTTTTAAAATGTTGTCAAATCACCTTTTATGTTAAAAAATATAGGATATTGTGTTGGCTTTTGTTTGCAAGTGAAAAACAGCGAAGTGGTTGATAATGAACTGATACCCACAGGAATTGTAGTAAGCCAGTGTAAATCATATTTGTGAATGAGTAAATTAGGAACAGATAAGATGTTTTACCACAAAAAAACGTGCCATTTTTTTCTCTCTTTTGTAGACTTACAATCAAAGCCAATCCAACAGAAAAAATCTTCTGAAAACTCTTTCTAAAAATAAAGGCCTCCATTTGTACCAGCACAGCCCACGTATGATTCCAGATGGCCTGACCCCCAAAATGCACCGTATGTTGATTACACCTCCAGAGAAGGAGCCAGACACTTCCACAGCCTGCTCAAAGAAGAAAGGCCTCACTTTGGGGCAAAATAATTTTCTCAGTTTTGCCAGTGCAGGTAAGAAGAGAGGATATCTGCTGAGTTTGTGTTGCCACACAAACAAACACTGTCTTTCACACAAGGTACAGGAAGGTTGCCCCATAACTTATTGGCAGGTTTATGGTCAACAAGACCTAGAGTACTTTCATTTCAGGTATAGTCAGCAAGAATCATTGCCAAAAATACTGTGATGACTATTTATTTAAATAATTTTGGAAAGGTTGGCTAGTCTAGAGAAAAGAAGGATTAGGGGGGACATGATAGCAGTATCCCAGTATTTGAGGGGCTGCCACAAAGAAGAGGGGGTCAATTTATTTTCCCAAGCACCAGAGGGCAGTACAAGAAACAATGGATGGAAAATAATTGAGAGAAGGAACTTCGAAATATGGAGAAACTTCCTAACAGTGAGAACAATCAACCAATGGAACAGCTTGCCTTCAGAAGTTGTGGGTGCTTCATCACTGGAGGGTTTTAAGAAGAGACTGGACAGCTACTTGTCTGGAATGGTATGGTTTCCTGCTTAAGCAGGAAGTTGGACTAGAAAACCTCCAAGGTCCCTTCCAGTTCTATTCTGAATTAATTATAGTAGCTTGCCATGTCAATGTTAGTGAGGATGTGATTTTTTTTCCTTTGGTAATTCCTTGATAGGGGTATTGTTTTCTGCTTGATTGTTTATCTTCTTGGTAGTTCCTTCTACCAAGAGCCACAGTGGTTAGAGTGCAGTACTGCAGGCTACTTCTGCTGACTGACTATTGACTGCATTTTGGCAGTTCAAACCTCACCACGCTCAAGGTTCACTCAGCCTTCCATCCTTCTGAGGTTGGTAAAATGAGGACCCAGATGGTTGGGAGAAATAGGCTGATTCTGTAAACGGCTTAGAGAGGGCTGTAAAGTGGCATATAAGTCTAAGTGCTATTGCTATTCTTGGTAGTTCCTTCATTAGGTATTATTTTTCTGCGGAATATTCTACTTCTGCGCCAAAATTGCTTGGTATTAATATTTATATGATGAAGAAAACAGTGCTTTGTATATAGTTACCAGTAGTTGAGGTGAACTTGAGTTAGTCTTACCTTATCCATCTAGCCAATTTAAGAAAGCAACCAGATATCCCAGAAATGTTTCTGAGCAAGTCAAGCCAGTGATAGTAATCCTACTGTTTATGTCAATCAGAAAGGTACTGTGCTTGATAATGAAGACATGCAAGTTGCATCAGCCTACATGGCCAGTGAACAGAAATGTGGGGCAGTATAGCAGGCATTGATGCTGCATATATAGGATTTAGTATCTATTTTATAGATAGGACAGAACTATAAAGATTCTCTCTCCCTCCCTCTCTCTCTCCCTCCCTCTCTCTCTCTCCCCCCGTTTCTTTTTTTCGGGGGTGGTGGTGGAATGGCAACAGAGGAAGTAATATCACTGCGTGTTCTTGGAGTGTGAATCATCACTCGTTTCAGCAATCTCTAATTCTCTCTGTGTAATTATGTGCATGTGATTTTCCATGAATGTGGGTGAGTATGATAAAACAGAAATATGTACCCTTCAAAATTTATTTTGAAATGTAATTTGGAAAAGATAAGTGAGCACATCTTTTCTCAGACTCCATGTGAGCCTGAAAAAAGCTACAGCAGCTCAAATTAGACTCATAACCGAGCAACATCTTTTTTCAAGCTCAAACACAAGCTTTTTTTAAAAAAAGGTGCCTGTTTTAATGAATAGCAGAGAGATACTGTGTTCTTGTAAGGCCCAAAGTACTTCTAAATTATTTCAATGCATGCACAGCCCTCTATGGTACTGCTTCTACTGCTCATTAGACCTAAAAGTTTATAGACTGAATCTGATCCATTTGTTCGTCTGGTTTTTCAGTGCAAATTTTATACCAAAACACCATTATTTAAAAGACCTGCTTATGGCTAAATTGGCTATGAAAATAAAAGCAGCTGTTGGCTTTTTATAGTGATTTTTTCAGAGCTTGTGAGAAGAAAAAATGCCAATATTTTTTTATAAATCATAAAACAGAAAGAGCTTTGAAAACTTTATTTAGCCTGGGTGCTTATAGCAAATGGTCAAGTAATACTTACTTCAGTCGCTCAGCTTGTTTCTAGGAAGCCTTCCATAGCAAATGAAGAAACTAAAACATTTGTGAACCCTTCTGAATTTTTGATATTTCTGTATAAATATAACCTGAAACATGATCTATTCTCCCTAAAAGTCCTAAAACAAGGACCCAATTAAACAATTGAGTCATAAACATTATACTTGTTTATTTCTTTATTGAAGAAAATGATCAAAAGCCTCAAACTTGTGGGGGCCAAGTGTAAATCTCTAAAATTATCAGTTCATTTGAAGGGGGAATTAGAGTCAGTGATTTCAACCAGTGGGATGTTAATTATTTCAAGAACAGAATTCTGGTTGTTCAGTACTGAAACCAGAACATCACAACACAGAAATGGGGAAATGTCATTGCTCAGAACTATGGCTCAAACAAATGAATTCCTGAGAACTTCCAAAAACTGTTGCTGATGCTCACCAGATAGAAAAGGTTACCAAACTATTTCCAAAAAATGTGGATTCCACCCAGTCCACAAATGAAAAGCACACCAACAGCAGCGTGTAATATTCCAGGAGTTCTCAAAGAAACCCAGGGTACCATGTAAGGCCCTAATGCAGAGGTCTTCAAACTTGGCAACTTTAAGACTTGTAGAATTCAACTCCCTGAATTCTGTTTGGGTACCCCTGCCCTAATGGCTTCTTTTGCATTGGCAAATATCAGGGTTCATCAGGAGAACACTGAACAAGAAGAAAGCTACAACTCTCCAATAGGAGCATTGCTGCCTATCCACTATTTGTGAAAGACCACTTGGGTAAGCCATCTGACTATTGGAAGAATGTTCTCTAGACAGATGAGATCAAAATATGTTAGTGTAAAACATGATGGTGGCAGTATCCTGATCTGGACCTGCTTTGCTGCCTCTGGATCAGGATTGTTTGCCATCATTGATGGAATTATGAATTATAGCAACACACTTCAAAAGAAAATGTCAAGGTCTCTGAACTCTGGAATCTAAAAGAGGTTTCTGGCAAGTGATACACTGGGCATTCATGAATTTTATATAGATTATATATTGTATACACCAATTTCCTTCCTTTTCTTATCTTCAAATATTTTCCAGGTACAAAGCAAGCCAGTCCAACTGAAAGCTGGTGCCTTACAACTGAGGAATATGAAAAATGGGATAGACTATATCAAATAAAAGCTGGTGAAGGAATAAAAAAGCCAATAATGCCACGCAGTCAGTTTGTAACATTAGAATGCAAAGATACAAGAACAGTAAGTTAAACATATGCTTCAGGTTAATTTAATGTGGTCTGGCTGAAGATCATGAAAAAAAGTACTTAAGCATGGAGAAAAATGTATTGAGCTATTGTCAACACTGACTGATATGTTTTGATATAAATATAGAGAAGACATACATGTCTTCAAGACTTTCTTCTTTAACATTTATATTCAAGTATAATTTCAAATTATTGGAGAAAATTCCAGGTATTTAATGCAAAATAAATAAAAGACCTTTTGGCAATCAATTATATCAGAAATGAGTGCTATGAAGGAACAAAGTGCCTGTAAAAAAACATAAATATTCCATTATAGATCTCTACAATAAATACTGATTTCCATCTAACAAATCAGAACATCCTACAAATGCACTGCTTTTTGTAATAGGTTAATGAAAGAATGCAGAGCAATTTGTTATAGTCGTTAAGGCAAGCCGGTCGTAAACTATGAGTTGTACTCTCAACTTGGACATGAAACCAGCTAGTTGACTTTGGGCCAGTCATTCTCTCAGGAAAAAAAAAAAAAAAGCAGCCGGCCACTTTTAAAAATCTTGCCAAAGAAACTGCAGGAATTAGGAATCAAGACTTATTGAAAGCACAAAACAGGGAGGTATTATATGGCAGCTAAATCTAAGTAAACCAATGTTGTGATTTATATTGTAGAATATGTGAAACAAATGCTTCAACATTATCAGTTTGTTAACTAGTAAAAATAAAATGCTTTTTTTTTTGCAAAAAAATAAAATGCTTGTTTATTGTATGAAAAAACCAAATTTTTCTCATAAATAAAAGTTAATATTTTTTTTCTAATAGCAATAACATTTAGACTTACATAATGCTTTCTGCCCTCTCTAAGCGGTTTACAGAAACAGCATATTGCCCCCAGCAATCTAGGTTCCCATTTTCCTAACCTTAGAAGGATGGAAGGCTGAGTCCACCTTGAACCAGTCAGGATCGAACCCCTGGCAGTGAGCAGTGTCTTAGCCTGCAATCCTGCATTCTAACCACTGCGCCATCATGACTCCTCAGTTCTAAGTTAGTCCTAAGCTAACTTTATTTTTATTTCGGATTATTCTCTTGACAAGCCTGAGCTGTGACCAGCATTGGCAGCATTCTATTTTCTTTGTGTTTTGAAATCTTAGGAATTGGAAACCAAAGAAGTTCATGAACTGTCACTGACAGAATGGACAGTCTGGCAGAACCGGCCATTCCCTACCTATCTAGTGGATCATTCTGATCGTTGCTTCCACTTCATTAGTGTCATGGACATGATAGAGCAAATGAGACACGAAGAGGTGAGTAAAATGCTTTTCTATTCTGGAGACCCTTATCTCCTTTCTAAGCTCCCACGTGCATTTTATTGGGCTGTGACATAGACAATATGCCCAAAGCATGTCACTATTTTGTGTTTCTCTGTGTCTTTTATTGAACACATTCAACCAAAGAAGATTACACCCTCTCTTTAAAAAGGTGTTTAGAAACTATTAAAAACCTATTATTTTGCCTGATCTCATTGCTAAGGCAAAGTTTACAGATAGCTATTTTTTCACTAGCAATTAATTGGACTTTTCAGATAATGACTCATAAAGTTACTCATTGACTTTTAACTAGTTTTGTAATTACATTGTGGATGAGAATGGGGAAAAGAGTTTCCTAAAAGAAGTAACAACACTTCCATACTTCGTAAATTTCAGTATTAGCAAAACTGTAATGAAATTAGGATTTCAAAACAGTGACAATAAACAAATTACCAAAAGGAAGAAGAAAGAAGCAATTCTTTAAAAATGTACAGAAAATAATATATGTTTTCTTTAGGATGAAAGTTTAGGAAAGTACCTTGAATAAAAGACACCTTTTAATATATTTTTCTCCAAGTTTTTAGACCTTTGTTTTGTCGTGTGTCCACTTTTTATTATTTTCCATTTGTCAATGTTCTGATTTTTAGTTAAAAGAATAACTAAAGTTGGAAGGGACCATGGAGTTCTTTTAGTCTAACCCTCTGCTAAAGCAGGAAACCTTGTACCATTTCAGAAAATGGTTGTCCAGTCTCTTCTTTAAAATCTCCAGTGCTGGATAAGTTTTGTGGTGGTCTTAGAATGGAGGTTCTAGAACTCTGCATAAAACTCCCATGTCCTCTCAGCTAAAAAGTTTTCCTCCCACAAGGTAACTGTTAATTAAAAAAACAACCAGGATTAAATTCCTTCCTGATCATTAGAAAAAAGAACACAATAAAGGTATGGTTAGAGCACAGGTGTCAAACTCACCACATCACATGACGTTTCACAATGTTTTTTCCATTCACAGAACTGGGGTGGGAGTGGCCTGAATGTGACATATCCAGCCCACAGGCCACCAGTTCGACACCCCTGGATTAGAATATAGTTTACCTTCTTTCTGGAATTATAGTTGTTAAATCAGGTACAATGTTGTAAAAAAAGAAAGAAAGAAAATAGAGCTGTGAAAAGTTTCATAGTTAATCTCCAAAAGGTGCTCCAGAATCTACAGGAACATAGCAGAATGTAGCACTATTACAGCAGCAATCATAAAAATAACCCCAAAAGAACAGACCTAAACGAGAGAATCTTTCAGTTTGTATTTATTTTCCTTTAGTCAGATAGATCCAACAGTGTTGAGTCTGAATCTCTAGTATTATAAGCAAATATAACAATAGAACTGTTGTCTGTGACATGGGGGAAACCTAACCTTTTGGGAGTTTCACGGTAAACAGCAGATATGATAAGCACTGGCCTTGTCAAAGATTTATTTCTTGAAGCATAGTGAAAATTACCAATTCTTTATCAAACTAGATGCGGTGTACTTAGTATTTTGTCCTGTGACTGGTGCTCCTTAACAATTTCTATGATAGCTTGGGGAGCAACACTGATAAAATTTATAGCTGATGCAGAACTCAAGGTAGCTATTGTTTTAATAGACAGAGTTAGGTTACAGAAATACACTGAAAATACTAGAATGAATTTAATGGAGTTGTTCAAGGCAAAGTTATTAATGCAAAATAAATCTAGAAATATGGCATGGGATATCTGGCTTGAGAATGTATGAAAACCCCTGTATGTAGCTGAACCCAATTTAAATAATTTCAAAAAAAGTCCAATACAGTATTCGACTGCATCAGTAGAAGTATTGAGTTTCCAAGTCAGGGATTTAAGTTCATTCTGTTCTGCATTAGTCAGGCCTAACCTCATGTACTGTGTCCAGGGCACCATGCTTTAAGAAGAATTCAGGCAAATTGGAGCAGATAAAAAGGTCAGTAAGACTGATCAAAGGATTAGTTCTAAGTCTTAGGAGAAAATGAGGGAGCTGGGTAGAGGTAGCCTTGTGGAGAGTTTGAGAGGACATATAATTCTTCAAGTGCACAAAGTAGATTCTGTCAGAGGATGATATCTCTGTTTTCTATTATACTCAGATGAAGGCCATAGAAGGATATATAGCTGCAGGGGGGAGCTCCCAGCTGAATGTGAGGAAAAACCTAAGAGTAGTTTTGATAGTGGAACTAATTACTTTGAGGGACCATTTGTTGGATGTGTTGAAGTAGAAACCAGATAGATACCCAACAGAATTTGGATTCTTGTAATGAACAGGAGATTGGATGATTGGTCCCTTCCCAGCTTCCTTTTTTTATGGTTCTATAAACCTTAGGCATTGCATTGTATCGCACCCCTAAAAATGAATTGTGAATTATATTTTTAATGTGTATTGCTATATATTGTATTTTTGATTTCCGCTATTCTCATGCTCCCATATTTCTTTGATTTAAATCTCAGTAATGCAAAATGTCAGACCCTCATCTATCTATAGCTTCCGCAGCTCAGTTTAATACATACTATTATGTAGAAAATTTGAGATAAACTTTGATTTTGAACATTAACATACACTGCCTTTCATTGTGGGCTATAGTGTGATTCATTAATTGTGATTCAATCATAGGGAATATATGTAGTTAACTCAGTGATGGAAATTAAACAGTCAGGAACTAAACAGATTTCCATTTTCTAGCAGACACACATTTCATTGATGATTAATTAAAATCACCGTCGTTATGTAAATGTCCAGCTAAATGAACAGACAGAAAAATCTCTTACTTAATGGAGGGGACTGTGACATTTTACATAATCTGTTTTTTAACCGTTTTGGAAAATAAGCATGAATGTTTCTAAGTACTGCAATCCAAAAAATGTAGGAATGATCTTGCCATGGAACATTAAGTTTTTATCTGGACAGCTAAGAAAATAAACATTGTGAGTCTAATTCAGGAGACGGTAACATCTGATCGGCTTTGTCTGAACTCAAAAAACTAAGCAGGTTTTATCCTGGTTAGCAGCTGGATGGGAGACCATTATGGAATTTCAGATTTGGAGGTTAGATTAAGAAAAGATGGATGGATGGATGGATGATGGATGGAAAAAATAGCAAACCTGAAGTAGGTTTTTTTATTCATTTTGAACTAATTATAGAGATTAATTGAGATATTTTGAATAATAATAATTTAGAAAATAATTTAGAACATTTCCATCTGTTACAAAAGGCCACACTGCTTGGATCCACACACACACTATGCTGATACTACAACATGACTTCTTAGGTAGGTTCTTGGGAAGAAATTGATGCATATGAAGGCCAACAACAGTTGAAGAACTGGCAGTTGTAATTTTACATTTTAGTGCATATCTCGTTGGACTCTCAACAAGTCTGAGGTCATACTAATTGATGTGAAATTTAAGTATTCCACTTTCCTCTTCCAGAGTGTTGCTTTTTTATCCCTTTACCAGATTTGTTAACTTATGTGCATTTAGGAATCCTAAATTATTGGAAAGTTCTTTTTGATATTAATTACATACTAAGAGCTGAAAATATTATGAGAATGTAGTAGCAGTACAGTTAAGTCCTTCCTATTGGTTAAGATTAAATCAAACAGTATCTGATCCACTTAACATTTAGCTTCTAAAACAGAAACTTGCAAGACAAGTTTGGAATTTTTCTGAAGGTCCATGCTGGCCAAAAATCATCTCCAAAATATTGGTATATTAAAAGTCCTCTGTGGTTATAATTTCCTGCTTATTTTAAATCTCTGCAATTAATTTTTGGAAAGTCTTATCCTTGGCTGGATAAGTCATAAAGGTCTTATGCTTGGCTGCATAAGACTTACCTTAACGGACAGGCTCCATTATGGTCGTAACTCAAGGATTACGTGTACTTTTATTAATGTAACATGATGCAACTTCTCCCTTTGTATTCCAATTTGTGACATGCAAAAAGAAGAAGCAAATTAGCATGCTCAAATTGGTAGCATTGGCTTTGAATTTCAAAACAATTACCTAAAATGATAGTGGGTTCATTGAATGAACCATAGTCTTTCTCTTTGCTATCTAATTCCATTCTGTAAAATAACAGCAACTTAGTAAATGCCAATAATGCAGAAGTTAAAGAATATAACTGTAAATTTCATAAATAAAAAGGCATTTTTCTTTATTCTCTTAACTAGGGAGTGTGCAGTTATGAGCTGGAAATTCAACCGTATTTTCATTGGGAAGATGTTCATGCATCAAATGAGCAGACCAGCAAAAGATGCGACACCGTGACTCTTGAAAAAGTATCATCTGGGAAAAAAACAGCAGCTACAGCAAAAGAAAAATATTCCTTACAGGAGTTTGATGCAGAATGTATGTCACTGTTTAAAGTGGCCAATTTTAAATCCTCAAAAAGACCTCAGGTGATTGATGTAGAAACTGCAATTCATGCTAAAAGAGATGGCAGCACTTTAGATTGCTTTTCAACAAACCTATCACCATTTCTTGAAGCTACAGGACAGGAAAGTTTGGCAGATGAGAATCAAGAAAATATGGATGCAGCCCTCAACACAAGTATTCAAGGAAGGACTTTTGTCAATCCTGAAAAGGCTATGACAAAAGCAATTCATCCTGCTCCTGAAAATTGTATACAAAACGGAGAGCGTGTGGATTCTGACTATGGCTGTTTTGCAGATGATGCATATCTTTCATCTTTATTTTATCTACCAGTGCCAGAGATTGATTTGTTTAGATTTTCTGAAACAAATGCTGATGAGAACTTTTCCTGGGAAAAAGACATCCAAATGAGTGTAGCAAGATTTCTGTCACAGTCCCCGCCATCTCTGGATGAATGGTTTGCTTCTAAGGAAAAGAAGGTGGATGAAGATCTGGCGCTTGATTCTTTACAGCAGAGTGTTTCCAGCAAGTCTAAAGACAATATTCCAGAGAAAAGTGTATGTTTCAAGAATATGTCCATTTCACCTCAGAACAGTTGTGAACTCTTAAATACCCGTAAATTGTGTTCAATGGATATCTGTCCTTTGGAAACAAATAATATTCCAGATACTTTCCTTAGTAGTATAAATGATCTTAGCTGGGATGACATTTTTGAAGTGGAAACCGAAGAACAGAATGGAATTCAAGGGGAGAAGCTGTCAAAAGTAAACAATAGTCCAGCGCAGAATTCTTTGAAAAGGTATAATGGTAAAAGCTGTGGAAAAACATGCAAACCATCTGGAAGAAATGTAAACCCTGAGGAAGATTGTTCTATATATTTATTGGGAGATCATGCACAGAGCAGTCAACTACCAGCTGAAAAAATGGGGGCACCTTCAGAATTAACTGGCTTGTGTAGCCAAGCCAACATGCAGAGTAACAACGCAAGAACCCCTGAATGTCATTTTTCTGACCAACTTGCTTCTGTTCACAGTACAAATCCTATAACATCATTGACACCACATAGAAATGAAGTAGAAGTCTCTGGTGGTCTTGATCATGGAAGCAAACCAAATCCCCATGATTATGAGGAGCTATATAATGCTTCTGAGGATTTGTTCTCTGTTAACTTTGATCTTGGATTTTCTTTTCAAGAGTCAGAAGATGATGCCTTAGAGCAGATGAACTCCATGAAAAATAAGGAGACTCCTGTAGTTGGTCATTCCAACAGGGTTGAAGCCTCTTTCTCAAATAGTAGTTTGGTCAATAAATATCCTAGTAATGAATGTTTTAATAATGTGACTAAATCTTCTACACCGTTAAACTTGCAAAACCACAATCCTGGTCTGGCAGCGATTGACCCTGCTATTTCTTTGGCATCTCCTTTCACACCAGCAACTCAGAGATTTTACCAGTCACCAAACCATGTAAAAACTGTGTGTTCCACACCAACAGGTGGACAAATGATACATAATAGAACTTCTTGCTCTAGAAATAATGAAGAAAGCTCACATATGAGAGTTTCAAGAAAAGCGAACACCAGCATAGTTAAAGTCTTGGCAAAATCAGCTTTTGGAGTAAAGGATCTTCCATCTAATGAACCTGGTAAGACCGAAAATGAAAGCCTAAATTATTTTAGCAGACTTTCTGCTGAAGTTCAGATTTTCAAACTCATGAACGTGTATGTAAGAACAGTGATGCAGTTATATCATTGAGAAACTGTATTCTTTAGACATAATGAAACTAGTGACTGAGTGCTTGTCTTTTGGGATATTGAATGGTTTTCATTATTTCATTCTGTTTCAACTCAGCATCTGCCTAGCCTTTTAGATTCTCTGTAATGAAGCTAAGGCTCAACTTGTAGCAAATATAATCATGACATGATAAAACTTGTAAATGTTTACTGTTACGTTAGCTAAAATGATCTTAATTTCCAATGATGTATTTTTATGTGAGAATATATAAGATCTCTATATTTACTATTGCAGTGTTCCTGACTTTACAATTGCTGGGTTTGTACATTTAAATGTACACAAAATCATTAATAGGTAAAATAATGAATCTTGGAAATGTCTTAAGATTGATAACCAAAATGTGATTTGCTCCTTTGAAATATTATATCAGACTGAACTCTTGGTATATTTTTTTATTTCCTCCTCAAAATAAAGAATAATGCACTTGATTAGGAAAGCTAGATGAGGAACAAAATACAAAAACTCAGCTAGTTGGATATTCTTTTTTGTTCTACGAAGCTACTTTATATGAATAGCAGTCATGTCCATGGGCAATAAATAAAGCTGGTTTACTAATGTGTTGTGTTCCCATCTCTTTCATTTTGTTCCCTTGGTGGGAAATATTCTTTTAACTTAAGCTTCAGTTCCAGCTTAATCAGGATGGACTTTGCGTTATTAGAGAAAGTCTGGCAAACAAGAAATCACCTTACTTCTTTTTAAAAATTAAAATGTATATTTTTTGTCTAACCAACAACTTCATTGCACGCTGAAACATTCAGATTCTTCTTATTAATTCTTCACTGCAGGGGACAGCAGTGAGAAGGAAGAATTTTCTTTTCTTAACAGAAAAAAGAGAAAAACAAAAGTTTTGAGAACTTCAGATGTGAGTAATTTAGTTACACTTCAGCAGTTTTAAATAAACCAAACTTTCCCCTCTGGGACTTCTTAATGGATGCTCATGTTATTCATTCTTTCTTAGATTAGTGACTGTGACATTGAATCCCCAATTTGTGCTGTCAAGAAGCGGAAACGTCCACTTATTGCTGTAAGTTTCTTCTCTGACTAGTGTTGAAAGAAGGTGCCTAAAACATGTGTTGCTGAATTTGGCTTGAATAGTCATATCCAAATAAAATTAAATTTTATGTTCTCCATCAGCTTGGCAGGATTGCTTCATTTGCTAACTCAGAAGGAATTCATTTATTATATGTTTTAAATGTACACGGTCTATTCAAGGTCAAACCAGAGCCAATTTGGTGTAAACTCAGCAGACTGAGAAAACAGGAGACTTTTGAGTTCTAGTCCTGCATCAGACACAAAGGCCATCATTCTCTCTCAGCCATGTAAAGTGTATGGATTTGTCCTGCAGTTGCCAAGAGTCAAAATTGACCCAAATATCCCCCCCCCCTCCCCAAATCACACATCTCTTTGCTGTATAGGGAATATATATATATGTTCACAAGATCGAAAGTTATTTTATACCATATCAGACCATTGGTCTAAATACCTCTTTATAATACAGACTGGCTGAAATTTTTCTATCATTTCTTTTAGCTTCAGTATGAGGAAGGATATAGACTCGAAGATGTGAAAAGGCTACCCTTTAAAAATAAATTTGTATTAAACATTTTTACAAAGATTTTAAAAACTATAGAATCATGGATGAAATAGAAGATGATGTTAAAAGAATAAAACAAAGTGAAGAATAACAAAAAGGAAGCTATCTAAAGAATGACTTTTGATCTTCAGTTACAAACATAGCAATTACAGTCCCCTCCCTCCCATATTCCATATCATAGTTACGTTCTTCCCATAAACAAAGCTTTTCACTCAATAAATTCCAAAATCAGCAGTTTATGCTTATCCATTTTCAGCAAAATGGTCAATAAAGAGTTTCTGGTAATTGCAGTTCCCTCTTTGATCAAACAAGTCAATTAAGCAATTCTACAAACTCAGCCATTTCAGAATACATCCCCTCCATCACCGGTATTTTTGTAGTCTTCCTTTTATATATAACAACTTTGCTGCAGTTACAGATAGTGCTCAACTTACGACAACAATTGAGCCCAACATTTATGTTGCTGTGTGAGAAATACGTTAAGTTTTGCCCCATTTTACAACTTTTCTTGCCATGTTTGTTAAGTGGATCACTGCTGTTGTTAAATTATTAACACGGTTGTTAAGTGAACCTGCCTTCCCCATTGACTTTGCTTGTCAGAAGGTGACAAAAAGGGATCAAATGGGGTCATAAATATGAGCCACTTGTCAAGCATCCAAATGTAAATCACGTGGCCATGGGCCTGCTATAACATTCATAAGTGGGAAAAATGGTTATAAGTCACTTTTTTTCAGCGATGTTGTAATTTCTATCAATCACTAAACAAACTTTTGTAAATTGAAGACTACCTGCACTATATACAAATAGCCCTCTACTTACAACCACAATGGACTGCACCTTCTGTTACTAACCGAGGCGCTCATTAAGTGAATCATGCCTGCTTTTGCCATTTTGCTCAATTGTTAAGTGAACCACACTGTCACTTTGTCAGAGTATAGCTGGGAAGGTCACAAAGGACAATCACATGACCCAGGATGCCGTAAGTATCATAGGTACATGTCAGCTGAATTTGGATCACACAATCACAGAGGCTTTGCAATGGTTACAGATGCAAGGACTAAGGAAAGGTTTGTTGTGTTTTAGTGCCATCGTAATTTGGAAATGTTGCTAAAATGGATGCAAGTGAAGGACTATCTGTATAAAACCAATTGTCTGTGAGCCTTTTCTACTTAAATTTCCTTAAGTCCTAATATAAAAAATCGCAGTTTCATCTGAAATGTTTAATTTTTAAAGCTGCCTGCCTCACTATGTGCATTTATATAATTTTGTTGTAATTTTAATCAACAATTATGTTACATTTTAGTCAGATGTCTCTAGTGATGAAAGCACAGATTTTGCTAAGAAACCAAAGCCAGTGTTGCAGGACAGAAAGAACTACATCAAGAAGCCAGTTCAAGATACGAAAAGGCAGAAGAAAGGAGATAGACCTCTGATCCAGGTAAGAATGTTACAATTAATTAAGATGACTTCTCTGATGTGAATATCTTTTTCTTACTATATTTTGCCTTTGAATTGGTAATGTTAAATCTCCTCTAGAATCATATGCATGATTCAGAATGGTTAGCAAGAGTCATTTTGTCTCTAGTTATTTTGGTGATTGAGGCGGCAAACAATAAACATTTATACCAAATTTATAATCAAGAGAAAGTTATTGCTAGCCAGACAAATCAAGCTCTGAGAAATTAGGGACAAGCTAACATTTTAAGCATATTATGCATAATAAATGATTATATGTCTGGGGAAAGGTGGTTTTTAATACAAATGGTGTTAGCCATCATCTGAATCAAATTTCTCACTGTGGCAAAAATATAAAAATAGAAAACTAGCTTAATCCATTCAGGTTAGCACCTGAATATTGTCCGCAGTTAACATATTGATATAACTGTCTAATTGATTTTGTATAGCACAGTAGTGTAATATATATTAAGTAGTCAGAATCCTATTTTCCTTTTGGTGAATGTAAGTTTCTATTTCAGTAATTTGAAGCTTTGACAGCTGGGAGTTGAAGCACTTTAAAAACTTAGTGGATCCCAAGAATGATCCATGAATCAACAGCTACAGTTTAAGCAAGGCCTCATCTGTGATTTGCTGCGAAGCCCCTAGAAAACAGATCCTTAGCTCCAGCTGATGCATTTTTGGGCCAGTCTACCATTATTGAAATTCAAAGCAATCTGTTAAGTGAGTTTAATAACAGATAATCAGAGTTGGAAGGGACCTTGCAGGTCATCTAGTCCAACCCCCCGCCCAAGCAGGAGACCCTACACCATTTCTGACAAATGGCAGTCCAATCTCTTCTTGAAAGTCTCAAGTGATGATGCTCCCACAATTTCCGAGGGCTAGTCCATTGGTTGATTGTTCTCACTGTCAGAAAGTTTCTCCTTATTTCCAGGTTAAATCTCTCCTTGTTGAGTTTCCATCCATCATTCCTTGTCTGACCTTCGGGTGCTTTAGAAAATAGCTTGACCCCTTCCTCTCTGTGGCAGCCCCTCAAATATTGGAAGACTGCTATCATGTCTCCCCTGGTCCTTCTCTTCACTAGACTAGCCAAGCCCAGTTCCTGTAACCATTCTTCATATGTTTTAGTCTCCAATCTCCTAATCATCCTGGTTGCTCTTCTCTGTACTTTTTCTAGAGTCTCAACATCTTTTTTATAATGTGATGACCAAAACTGGATGCAGTACTCTAGGTGCGGTCTTACTAAGGCTTTATAGAGTGGTATTAGTACTTCACTTGATCTCAATTGTATCCCTCTGTTAATGCAACTTAGGATTGCATTAGCTTTTTTGGCGGCTGCTGCACACTGCTGGCTCATATTTAGTTGGTTGTCCACTAAGACTCCAAGATCTCTCTCACAGATACTGCTATTGAGCCTGGTTTCACCCAGTCCATATGTGTACTTTTGGGTTTTCTTGCCTAAGTGTAGGACTTTACTTTTCTCTACACTGAATTTCATTTTGTTAGATATGGCCCAGTGTTCTAGTCTGTCAAGATCCATCTGGATCTTGAGCCTATCTTCTTGGGTGTTAGCTATTCCTGCCAGCTTAGTATCATCTGCAAATTTGGTAAGTTCCCCTTCTATTCCCTCATCTAAGTCATTTATGAAGATATTGAAGAGTATTGGGCCTAAGACGGAACCTTGTGGCACCCCACTGCTTACTTCCCTCCATGTAGACTTAGACCCATTAAGGACTACTCGTTGTGTTAAGGACTACTCATTATGCTTTGATTCTAAAGTGAATTCTTTGAAATGGAATTCTAACCAAAATGATCTTTTCCATCCTATAGAATTTAGCCAAACACTTCATAGACGAGGAGGCAGAAATTTCTGAAGATGGAGTGGAAATTTCATCTGATGAGAGTATAAAATCAGAAGATGAATTGAATTCTTCCCTTGTTCAATTTCTTGATGATGAGACGCAGATCGCTCAAGATTTAAATGGTATGCAGAGAAAATCCTCTTTCCTTCTCCCTCCAATCAGTTGATATTCTGTTTGAACTTATCTGTGTCTGAGCATCTGGTCCAAGAAATAACTTTCTTAGATAAGATATGAGTAAAATATTTCCATTTCTGCTCCTGGTTTTTAACTTTGAAATAGCAGTCTCTATATGTGTGCGTGGGGGTAGGGGAGTTAACATTTCTATTACATTCTTGATAATTCCTCTCTCTTGATACCTGAAGATGCTACTTTCCTTGGAAAGAAGCTGCTCTTGATCTGTGAGACCAGGGGTGTCAAACTCAAGTCCCATGGACCAGATCCAGCCCACAGGGTGTATAAATTTGGCCCGCGGGGCCACCTTAGAAACAGCAAAGGACCAGCCTGTGGTGCTCTGCCAGCGAAAACAGAACTCGGGAGGGCTACAGACAGAACCCCCAAGCTCCATTTTCTCTGGCAGAGATGCTAGCAAAACAAACTACTAGGATAAGTGGGTTGCCCCCGGCCCCCCAGCCACGAGTGATATCAAGTTGGCCACACCCACCCAGCCCCCTCCCCAAGGTCAAACACAACCCTGATGAACGCAACCCTCAATGAAATCAACTGCTAGACATTTCCCTTCCAGAAGCCCATGGAGATACTTGTATAATGAAGGTTGTAATGGGTCTATAAGGAAATTTTTTCTAAAGGTTACAGCTTTTGTATCACCCTCTCTCTCTATCTATATAATGTGGTGATCAGGCTCAAGATTGAGTGTGGTCTCAGTTGCTTTTTTGTCTGACAATCTATTTTGTCTTTCTACATAGAATCTGAGATGCAGGCAGTTTATCTGAAATCTGTACGCAGTCCAGCAGTTGGCAACAAGTATAAGATGGTGCATAAAGAATTCAATCCAATAACTGTTTTCTCACAGGTAAAAAGTCAGACAAAGAAAGTGATACTGTGATAAATGGAACCACCTCTCAGATTGGTCTGAACCTGCAAATGCTTTAAAATGCCTAGGTATTATTTTATTGTAAAGAACATTATCAGGGTGGGGGTATATTTAATTAAAACTAAAACAATCCAAATGCAACTATCATAAGTGATAATATTTTAAGGATGTTTTTTTACAATCCTACCTGAGTTGGCAAAACTTGTCAGTGGTAAGTAACACCCTTATTATCACAACCACACAAGGTTTTAAAGATTAGTAGGAAGCTATAGCAGGTATAAAATAGAGTGACCAGGTTGGTAGCAGCAGAAACTTGCTAGTCTAGAGTAACATGGGAATACTGCAGTTATTGTATTGGTTGCCAATAGACTTTCAGTACCTCAAAGTACTGGTTATTTCCAATAAATTCCAATACAGTGTTCCTGAGAACATCAAGGGTTGCAATCTTCCATGTTAACAGTGAAGAGAAATGCCTCCTCATCAGTTAATAGGAAAGCTGCAAGCAAAAAAACCAAAAAAAAATCTGTGCTATAATATACCTGGAGATAAATTGGTTCTAAAATGAAGCAACGGAAATGAGCTTACTTGCTTATATTTTTGTGCCACTACCACTTTCCTTGTAGTAAATCTTGCTAAAGAAAACTAAGAATCATGTTTAGAAACAAATCTTGTTTGGTTTTAGGCAATTGGCAGAAAGCCTGACATATGCAAAGTAAGATCCTTGATCTTTATTTCTTGATAACTTTATGGACACATCCTTAGCCCTTCCGATCCAAGTATTAACTGGGTTTCTCTCTGTTTAAGTTTGTGAAATCAGACAAAAGCTAGATAAAAAGCACATAAGCACAATAGGGAAAATAGTTCTTTTTTAAGTTGTCAGAAGTCAACAAAGTGGAATAAATACACAAGTTCCATCATTGAGAGACAACTAACTACTAAGAAGATAGGCCAGGCATCAAGAAAAGGTTTTATGTTGAAGATCTTAATGTTTTTTTAGATGCATAATGAAACCAGGCAGGTTTTTTAAGTATCCTGAACTTACGTTGTAAATGTTTTTTTTTTAAAGCGCCAACACTCTGAATTTGGATTAGTAATGGCCAGGAATTCTATTTAATCAGAATATTACTGACGGTGTCTAATTAAGACCATTATTTTTGCTTCTTTCTCTCATGAGGCATAGGGATTTGTCAGGATTTGTCTTCTTTCTTCACAGATTCCAGAGCAAGATGAATGCTACGTAGAGGACAGTTTCTGTGTTAATGAAGAGGATAACCCCAAAAGCAGTTCCAGTGACGAAGATGTCCACATCAATTTTGACCTTTTAGGGGAAGAAAGCTTTGTGGACGGAAGAAAACAGTACCAAACCCGGCACAGGAAAAAAATGAAAGTGGGCCATACGAAGCAGAAAACAGGAATGCCACTAGCCCCAAAGAGGTTCACTAGGGTTCGGATTCTTAATGGATCTAGTGAAGATGAGGAAACTGATAAAAAGGAAGAGCAGATGGGATCACGAGTCAGTGCTAAAGTTGATAAGGATTCTAATGTTACTTCCTTAACTAAGGACCAGACTCTGCCCCAAAAATGCTCAGTTCTAAAACCCCAAGAAAGCCATGCCCAGGTACACTTGGAAAAATCCTGTTTGCCAGAACAATCAGATTTTCATCCTCAAATTAAAGATCAGTGCAAATATGAACTTGTAGGTAAAACTTTCCAGATTATGCCAAAGGTGAGAATTTTTTAAAAAATTACTGCTTCTTTTGTGAATGGTCTGGAAAAGTAGAATTAAGGAGTCAGGAGAAACTTTTAAAATGATTGGTTTAAGCCTTTGCCACATTTCTCTTGAGAATCCTCACTAACATATTTAATAGATTTCCTCTTATTTGCTAATTCTGCTGATATTATTGGTATACTGTGTCAAACAAGTTTCTCTACTCAAGCAAATAGACAGACCGTCCTTGACTGTTAAATTTAACTCTACACACCACACTAAGAAATTGAAATGGGTTCACACAATGGCAACAAAGTTGGTCAAGCAACTAGAAACAGAGAGCTACAAAGAAATTGAAGGCTCTAGATAACTTTAGCCTTAAGAAAATATAACTGAGGCATATAATAGAATCATGTATCTAAGAAAGTGTGTCACAAATGAAGATCAAAAATTATTTTCTCTGGTTCCAGAGCACAGAACATAGAATAACATTTAAATTCAGGAAGACAAATTACAAATGAAGTAGGGGAAATTTTCAAAAGTAAGAATTCAGCAGAGACAGTTATGCAATGTCGTGGACTGTTCTTAATTGGCTTTGTTCAAGCTGAAGCTATAAGACCTGTTCCAATTATGTGGATCTATGAGATTAAAGAAGTAGTTATCCTGACATTTAACAAAAGGAATATATATGGGCATAAAACTAAATAGATGTCTAAACGTTTCTTCCATAGCAATATTATAAGATAGCCACCCTAAATTTAAAAATGCCATTTTTCCATATTTTTTCCTCCCAACATCCCAACAGTTTTCTCAATAATGTCTCTTTTAATCAGTAATAGGGAACTGCGTTTGTAAAATTTAAAATTTGGAAAAAGCACCTTCGGGACAACCATGACCTAGATGATTGAGAATCTCCATAGACAACTGACCTTTGTTTTCTATGTAATTCTGCTGGCAATAGGTACTTTGATTGACACAGTACAAATATTAAAAGATTGTCCCCCAGTTTCTTTAGATATTTGCTGTTCTAAGCCTGCTGACTGATACGATGTTGTGATCTTTGCAGCCAGAAAAATCTTTGGAGAACCTTCCTGGACGCTCTTCTTCTTCTTCCTCTTGGACTTTAAGGAATTCAAAGAGCCAAGCACCTCTGTGCATTCTGGTGGATAACCATGAGATCTCCTCTGGCCCAGAAGTTATTTCAACCCTGAAAACCGTTCACGGAGTCAAGGTTGAGATTTGTTCTCTGGGTTCCTGTGATTATATTGTCAGCAACCGTCTAGCGGTAGAAAGGAAGTGCCAGGCAGAATTGGTCAACAATATACATCAGAGTAAAATGGTCCAGAGGATGCAACAGCTGAAGAACAAGTTTGATAGGATCTGCATAATTGTGGAGAAGGAAAGAATTAGAACAGGTTGGTATCTTGCCTGATACTCAGAGGCTTTTCAGGTGCAATTTTTAGCTTTGCTGGTTATGAGATTCATGGCTAAATAGGAAACAAAAGCTGTATTTCACAAGGAGGTGAAGATGAGACTAGAAACAGAATTACAAACTGGGAAGGAGCAAGAGAATAACATCACAGTCTTGCCTCTTTGAGTCAGCAGTGTGCTGCAGCTGCCAAAAAAGCCAACAGTTCTAGGCTGTGTTAACAAAGGGACAGAATCAAGATCAAATGAAGCATTAATACCACTTTATAATGCCTTGGTAAGGCCACACTTGGAATACTGCATCCAGTTTTGTTCGCCAAAATGTAAAAAAGATGTTGAGACTAGAAAGAGTGCAGAGAAGAGCAACAAATACTAGGGGACTACCAGCTAAAACATATAAAGAAAGGTTGCAGGAATTGGATATGCCTAGTTTAATGAAAAGAAGGACTAGGAGTGACATGATAGCAGTGTTTCAGTATCTCAGGGGCTGCCACAAAGAAGAGGGAGTCAAGCTATTCTCCAAAGCACCTGAGGGCAGGACAAGAAGCAATGGGTGGAAACTAATCAAGGAGAGAAACAACTTAGAACTAAGGAGAAATTTCCTGACCGTTAGAACAATTAATCAGTAGAACGACTTGCCTCCAGAACTTGTTTAACACTGGAAGTTTTTAAGAAGAGATTGGACAACCATTTGTCTGAAATGGTATAGGGTTTCCTGCCTGAGCAGGGGGTTGGACTAGAAGACCTCCAAGATCCCTTCCACCTCTGTTATTCTGTTTTGAGATGAGCAGAATGTGGCTCAGAGGAAAGACCTTTTCTTTCTTATCACTTGTGGAATATCTTACCATTAGAGGTTGGCTATCATTCCTGGTAATTTTTAAAGCTGTAAAAGCAATTTTATTGAGACATTCAAAGTTTAATAGGACGTCTCATATTCCCAAGTTGCTCTATTTGTTCTCACTTTGTTTGTAGCTGAAGTTTTTGACTTTTGTCTCTCTACTTGTGCTTTACTTTACCACTATTGTATCCCTTACTTTTATTCCGTTGTTTGTTATATATATTGCATTATATTTTACTATTAGTGTATACTAATATTAGTGTATTACCGGTTCTGTGGGTGTGGCTTGATGAGTGTGGTGTGTCTTGGGAGTGGCTTGATGGGTGTGGTGTCTTGGTGGGCGTGGCTTGATGGGCATGGCAGGGGAAGGATATTGCGAATCCCATTCCCTGCCCATCCCGCTAACCTGCTTTCTAGCTCCGTTCTCCTGTGCAGGGCAGCAAAAGAAGACCCAGCTAATCAGCTGGGACTCAGGAGGCAGAGAATAGATGGGGGCGGGGCCAGTCAGAGGTGGCATTTGACGGTTGTCCAAACTACTCAAAATTTCCGCTACCAGTTCTCCAGACCTGGTCAGAACTTCCTGAATACCACCTCTGGTGTATACACACAGACAAAATCAATGAGACAAAACCTAGATGCATACATGTGTGTGTTTGCATACAGGTTTTAGCTCACTGATTTTATGGGCTTCAGGCTGTAATAAGATTTGGTTTGATAGTTGATTTAATTTGGGTTGGGTTATTGGGTTATTGTTGCTCCTTCTTTTATATATTTTTGCTTAACCGTGGTTCACTCAATTCAGGATTTATGTACTCACATAATAAACTGAACTGAAAACTAATCACAAGAACTGGGCCTGCACAAAAGACTAGGCTAAAATATCATCAGCTTGTTCGTGTGTCAGTGTGTTGTGCCATCGTAGGAGAAATGTTGAACTTGTGTCTTTCAACTTTTCAGGCGAGGCATGGAAGGTGTTCCACAGAACCAAGCACTATGATAGCATGTTATCAGCATTCATTCAGGCAGGAATCAAAGTGCTCTTCAGTGCCTGCCAAGTGGAGACTGCTGACTTGCTAAAGGAACTAGCTTTGGTGGAACAGCGGAAGAATGCAGCCATCCGTGTGCCAACAGAAGTGGAGGGACCCCGACAGGATGTTTTCCGTTTCTATTTGAGCATTCCCTGTGTCAGCTATACCCTGGCTCTGGCCTTGTGCCACCATTTTGGTTCTTTAAAAGAGATGGCAAACAGGTACAGTTCCCTTTTGATTGTTCTGATCTTGACCCTCGTTGGATACAAGCAGATAGATTGGTTGGTGTGGCCTACATTTTGTTTTTCACTTTATACTGTAGAGCTGTCATATTAAAAGCCATTTCTGCCTCCTCCTCCTCCTCTTCCTCTTCTGAAACTTCTAATCTGACAAGTTATGATTCATCCAGTGATAACATATGAGGAACTGTTGTATTGGGGGTGGGAAGTATAAAGCGATTTTCTGAAAGTCTAGTTCGATATTTTCACATTTGTCATTAGAATCAGAATAGAGCTGGAAGGGACCTTGGAGGTCTTCTAGTCCACCCCCCTGCTCATGCAGGAAGTTGATCTCTCGTAGCTTAGAGAGACTGTATCTCATTCATTTGGATGCTATTTTGTACATTGTTTATGTGCCATCCAGAGTCAGGAAGGGTGACCACATACGTTAAATTTAAATATAAATTTAAATTAAATATAAATATAGTCATAAGAATTTATAGAACCAGAATATTTAAGCCAGCCACACAGGCAGGTATTACCATTATGACCTTGTGAACCTCGCTGAATATCCCGTCTGTTCTTGTCATTTTTATATTCTTCCTCTTTGTGTTTTTGCTGAAGAATCCTGGTTACAACTAGTGCCTTAATGAGAAACACTTTCCTTCTTCCTTTCCAGTACCCCAAGGGAGATGGCAGGCCGCACTCAGGTCAATCAGCAGAAAGCAGAGGAAGTGTACCGCTATATCCAATACACCTTTGACACTCAGATGTTGCCCATGATTGTTACATGATCCTCTATAAATCAAAGTGGGGCATCCCTTTTAAACAGAAGCACTTTATTACTACATTCCTTCAGTGTAAGACATGTAAATAAAATGTCAAACAAAATGAGTTTGTGTATTGCAAGCTGCCTTGTTCCTTTATAGAAGTAGGAAGTGTGTCTTTCCTTAATACGGGTTCCTAACTCCATTGGTGTAAGATGAAGAAAACATATTTCCACTTTCTCTTGCTTCTGAAAGCAGCTGTTTTTCCCAGTTAAAGGATAAAGGTTTGATATGAAAACCATCCACGTCGTCCTCCTTTTCCAGCTATAGATAATTGGAGAGCAAGATGTTAAGGAGGGATTGCCAGAATTTGTCAAATGCACAGAACCGTCTTCTATATTGGGATGTATATTAGGAGTTCTTCAAAGTGTTTTGCTTTGAAGTTCTACATTCATGTCAATGAAGCCTCAAAATGTTGAAGTATATTTAATATTTATTATTTATTTATTTGGTTTGTCAATTGCTTACAAGATAATAGGTATAAGTAAAAACATAGTTATGAATACATGGATACATATAAGAAAAATAAAAGAAACAATAGGACAGGGACGGTAGGCACATTGGTGTGTTTATGCATGCCCCCTACAGACCTCTTAGGAAAGGGGTGAGGTCAATAGTAGACAGTCTAAGGTTAAAGTTTTTGGGGTTTGGGGAAGAAACCAGAGTCAGGTAGAGTATTCCAGACATATGGTCTGGAAGGCTGTGTAAACAACCCAAAAACCTATGAAGCACTATTCCTAATTTTGGTTGGTTAATGTGATTATGAGTTTTGAGCAAAAGTGCCTTATCCATGTTGCAAAAGATCTCTTTCACTTTTCAATCTGCATAGCACGGGCATAAAAAGTTTTAATTTTTAACATGGAATAAAACAGTTTCATTCAGAATTTCTTTGGAAATATTTTGAGTGTTCCAGCAAAACAAACTTCAGACTGTTAAATGATCTTTACAAGAGTAGGAATCCCTTTGCTACAGAAATAGCTAGGATACTAAAACCTACAGAAATAGATAGCTACAGATAGATAGGGTACTAATCATGCTACCAATCATTTTAAGTCAACAAGTTTAATTTTTTAAAAAAATGCATTTCTAAAATTCCCATTGTGAATGATGGTAGCAATAAGGAAGTACACTCGGCCATGAAGCAGCAACAATAGACCAATGTGAGCCATGAACATCATAGCCAGAATATATTTATAGGATTGTTAATAGTCTAAACACAATAAAATAGTAGGACAGATTGTGGTGGTTGTGGGGGGCAGAGTTGTTATTATATTATTGTATTGTATTGTATTTCCCTACTGCAGACCTTCATCTCTTCCTGAGCTGGTATTGAAGTTCCAAGACTTTAGATCTTGAGCAACTGGAACGTACCTTCATTTGGCAAGACCAGGAAAAGGGAATGTAATCCTTCAGGGCTTAATGGATCTCTCAGCAGCTTTTGTACCATTGACAATGCAAATCCCTTTGGTTTCCTTGCAAAGATTGAGAGTGTGGATCACTTGCTTTGCAGTGTTTCTGCAGTACCCCTAGATTTGCTCATGTCACACTGCTAATAGCTGCATTTACAGTTGGGGCATTTGGGATATGGTTATCTCTTAACCCACTTCTCCAAGTTGACTTTACTCATCCAGTGAGAACTGGAAGGCAAACCTCTGTTAAGACTCCCTCAGTAATGCTCACCCTTCTGTAGAACAATTTTCCACAGAAGCCACCTTAAATATTCAGACAGCTCTTCCAAGGCTGAATCTGAAAATAATATTTGGAGAGATGATGGCTGTTTTGAGAAGATAAGAGAATTGTAAGGTGGTAAAAAGCAAACAGGGGGAAAATTTTAAGCTCCTTCTTAACCAGTCGGAATATTGCTTGACTTTTAAGTACAGAGGATTGAATAGATTATGGGAGGCAGGATGGAGTACGGATAGTCATGCAACAGTTACCTTGCCAATAATCCATTAGTCTCCTCAAGATCCATTTGGGTCTATAGTCTTCACTGATACTTGAGCAGTAGCATCCAAAAAGATTCTCCAATCCTGCACATGTATGCTTATCTCTAACGCTCACCCATCTCTTCCTCTCAGAATGGATCCTGTGCCTGCTGTTTCATTAGCTAATGCATTTGGTTTGGAAAGTGTTTGAAAGCAAATTAATCAGTCCAGGCTAAAATATCTGAAACCATGTCAAATGCAATATTATTATTATTATTATTATTATTATTATTATTATTATTATTATTA